CCGGTGGGGCCCCCCGCCACTGCCGCAACGAACCGAAACCCTGGGCTTCTACGAGAGCGACCGGGAGCGGAAGAAGAAGAAAAGCGCCTCAGGTGAGGGGCAGGGGGTGTCGGGGAGGAAGCGGTTGGGGACCGGGGTCTGGCGCTGACAGGCCGAGCGAGGCCTGTGGGTTGAAGTTAGCGAGAGGGAGAGGCTGGTGGTGAGGAGCCTGGTGCTGAAGCGGAGTCGGGTTCCGGCTGTCGGAGCGCTTGTCGTTTGAGCGCAGGGACAGTAAGTGGCTCATGGATGCCCGCAGCGCACACTCTGTTTAAAGTCTGTGCCCAAAAGTTTTCAAACGTGGGTGCCTAACATCAGCGTCTTGCATCTGGTTTTGCATCTGACAAAGTGGTTTCTACCCACGAAAACTTATGCCCATTAAATCTGTTAGTCTATAAGATGCCACACGACTCCTTCCAGTTTCTGGATTTAGACTGCTAGATGGACGTGGTTTGGTCAGATTTACAGCTCCTAAATTCTGCATATTCGTCTTGAGTGTTTTAGGCACCCATGGTTCAAAATTTTGGCCAAAGTCTTTAGAAACTATGCAGTTTAGTTCAAATATGGTTGGTATGTAGCAACTATAGTAGCTTAAGTGACCAGAGAAAACAGTATTAGAAAACCGTCACTGCATTTGCTTGTTTTCGCCTTATGTTTGGTTTTGGTAGTTGATGTACCTTTAAAAACATCTAAGTGGTTTAAATCTTTCAGTTTTACAATAGTGTCCAAAATAGAGGCATCTCTATGTAGTTTTATGTGTCCAGTGACAGGATGTGTTGGATTTGTTGCTGTGACTTCAGTTACCAAAACAATTCCACAAAATATGTGTACTGTATTCCAAATTAATCAAACAGAGATTCAGATCTAGACAGGTACTGTGTTTTGAAATATTTGGGTGTGCTTGCTCAGTGTTCTCTGTCGCTGAGGCAGAGAAAACGTTGAATAAACAGTTTTTGATAAACAAATTTGCTTAATACAGAATATTGTAAATAGAGTAGTCACCATATTTAGTTTTTAGAACAAAATGTAAGTATTATATAAGTTTCTAGAAATGTATGTATTGTTAGCATTTGTGGCTTTTAGCAACATTTAGTTTAAATGAACACTTGTAAAAAGATAAAGAAAATGTAATAATTTTTGTCATCAAGCTAAAATTGTGTTCAGACTTGCGCTTGAATTGCTGACATTTGAGTGCTGTATTCTGTCCTCATTAGAAAAAATACATAACTTTTATTTTTCTTATATAAACTTTAATTTAATGCAGTTTCTTGCATATGTGGTTCAGATTTCATTTTACAGGTTCAAATATGGGTATTTATAACTACATTAGATATGTTAACATAATACCCTGATAAAAATTACTTTTGAAAACAGGCTTGAAGAATAAATGAAACTTTGAGACTTATCTACTGTTTATGGTAGGATGGAAAACCACAAGCCTGGGAATCAGATGTGCCCCCCAGCCTGCCTGGATCCAGCCCCTGAGATTCAGGGCTTCCTCCCCCAGCACTGGGGAGCCTGTACTGACACGCCAGCCCCCCCCCCCCACTGTGGGGCTGGAGCGCACAAAATCTGTTAGGCTAGGCACCCCCCAGGCTCTGGTTTGCGAGGAGGAATGTGGGGAGTCTCTCTCCTTCTCAGTAAAGGGCACTTGTTTTGGGGCGGTATTTTTGCTTCTCACTTGTGTAGTGCCCCTGAATGATTTTTCTGAGGCTCCCTCACCCAGAAAAGGCTCCCCATCACCTGGTTTATGGTTTTGAGCATAATTTTATGTAACAATAAGTATTAGAATAGAAAACAGAGTAGATATAATTTTTAATTCAGTTTTTAGTAAATTTTTAATTATTTCCATTTAGGCTTGACTAGTGCTATGTCAATCCCAAATTCTACTGCATTCCTGACAAAAGTATTATGTCATAAGATTTATAGCAGCGTCTTGTCTTGCCTTTGTGGTATTGCAGAAACTGCATTAATGTCAAAGCACCACAACTCAACTGAGTTAGCTTGATTACGATATTATGGTTTTTATATGGAAATTGAATTTTATGTTTAGGATTTATATTAATGTACCCAAAAGGTTGTTGAATAAATAGTATGTTTTAGTATCTTTAGAAAATTTTACTATGCTTCCAAACTGCAAAACCTATATTTTAAAATTAGTTTTGGTTAACTATGTTTTAAATTATAAGAGTCGATTGTTCATGGTAGATTTTAAGAATACAGACACCTTATTTAGAACAAAACAAAACAAATTGTCTTTGCTTAGTGTTTATCTGGTTCTAGCAATATGCTCAATTTTGTTCAACTTCTGAAAATTAAAAATAGTTCCTTCTATTATCGTGTAAGCAAGATAGCATAGATAGGATGTTCTGGGGAGGCTACATGAAAATAAGATTTTTCTGGATATTGTATTGCCATATAGTTTCCCTTCTTTTGGCATTATTGAAGTAGATGTTTAAGATTAAATTTAAGTGAAGAGAAGGTAGCAAGTTGGCATTTTGGAAATGGCAGTGCGATTTATATGTAATGGGAGCATAGAGGGATCCTTAGATAAAGTTGTTTACATGCTTATAAATGGGATTTTCCTTTTCTACTTAGTGATTTATACTGTATTTACCAGGTGAATAGCTTGTAGCAATCTACCTTAAGTAGATCAGTATCTTTGTCCTTTAAAGAAAGTCAATTTTTACTACTTAAATTTTGGGGAAGCTTATGTTTTATTTGAGTATAATGTTCCTTAGACTAGATTTGTCCATTGAGTCTTTGTGTTTCCTTCCACTGCTGCCAGTTCCCAATCCTTGTCTCAGGTTGGGAAATGGCAATAGGGATATAGCATGTATTTTGAGCAGTCAGGATGAAGATAGAACTGGCATACTATTGTTAGCATTCGGCCACAGGCTACTAACTACTGCTAGAAAGGATCGTGAGAAGGTTGCATCTGTGCAGGAAAGAGGTGCTTTACCAACATATGAAGTAGAGATGTGAAAGGTTAACCAGTAAGCACCACTCTTAATGGGTGAGGCTTACCAGTTCCAGTTAACCCGTGGAGGCTGGAGCAGCTCCCCACCTGTGGCAGGGGCTGGAGCTGTCCTAGCCTCTGAGACCCATCACAGATGGGAAGCTCTGGCATCTGAAGCAACCTCTGTCTACAGTGGGCCTGGATGCAGCCCCCCTCCCCTGACCTTTAATCGGTTAACTAAGCAGTATGTTTAACTGGTTAACTGATTAAACATGATTTAGCATCCCTAATCTGGAGAATGTTTGGCCCTAGGGAAAGTTTGATATTAGGCTATTTCTTGTTAGAAGGTGCGGTAGTGTGATATCCTCCTGTTGGAGATATTTTAGCCTATCACAAACTAGTCAAAATTGAACTAGTGCCCTTGTCAAGCTCTACATAAACTTGATGCTTAAATGCCTGTAAAGAAGTCTTCTATACAGGCAGTCCCCGAGTTACGCGGTCCGCAGTTACGAACGGGGTTTGCTGCCCATCTCCCTGGTCTGCTGGAGACCAACAGACCAGGGAGACGGGGAGCAAAGCGGAGCAAAGCCGCGGAGCACGCGGACAGCCCAGACGCGTCTGGGCTCTCCACTGCCCGTGTGTTCCGCCGCTTTGCTTCCTCTCCCTGGTCTGCTGGAGACCAGAGAGAGGGCCCCGTTCGTAGCTGCGGATCCGACATAAGTCGGATCTGCGTAACTCGGGGACTGCCTGTACTTCTAAACATTTTCAGCAAGTCTTTTTGGCCTTCATTCAGCACTAGAACTGATAAACTGCTCAATAGTCTGTGCTGAGGAAAGCAAAAGAAGAGGGAAGATGTGGCTCACCATGGCAAGATTTGATGAAAGCTTACTCAGTGCAGATGCTTTACCCAACCCTCTTACAGCAAGACTTATGGTTTACAGACTTTGCTTCCAAGCCAGACTAATATTAAATAGGCTCAGTCCACCAGGTCTTTTCTGTCTGTAACTTAACTGAAGTTATTACAAGGACTATACACAGAAAGGATCAAGTTCTGGGATTAAGTAGGAATGGCTCATGAAGATTTCTATAGGATTCTATGAGAGGTCATAACAAAAGCTTTGGAATGGAAGCAAAGCAGATTGCTGTGTCAGTTCTCATAGATAGGGCCCTACCAAAGAATCAGCCGCTGGTCAGTTTCAGCAGCGGCTGAATCTGGACGCCAGTTCCGACTTACATACGGATTCAACTTAAGAACAAACCTACAGTCCCTATCTTGTACGTAACCCGGGGACTGCCTGTAATGGATTATTAATGTGGTCCTGAGAACACTGGTGAAAGTTCCTTTTGAACCTCTCCATTCCTCTGAATTTTCTATATAGAAAATAATTTTCTGGATGTTAGTGTCACTAGATCTCAAAATTAGTTAGCTTTGGCTTCCAGTCTTTCATATGCACAACACCAAATTTTACAAAGATAAAATTATGCTATAGACTAGTTTGATTCCTTTCCAAAGTGATGCCACTTTAATATGTCTATTGACCTGCCAACATTTTCCCCCTCTATCCACATGTCTGTCCATCTTCATGAGGCCTGTCTCTATATGCTCAATGTTGCTTGGATGCTTGGGAGCATGCTAGAGCCCACACAGTCCACTAAGAAATTCTTTTCAGTTCACACTAGTTCATTAGGGAATACGGTTACTAAGAGGACCTTGTCTGCATAACTTTCGCATTGCTTTGACCTATTTGGTCTGAACTAGATTGGTATGTCACTCTGCCTGAGCCAGAGCTATCACACCAGCCTTCCTTAGTCATGTTTCCATTATCTTAAATAGAGCCCTGCATGATGCAACATTTTATATCTGCATTGCTATATGCAAAAATAAGCTTCAGATACTGTATCCATGGATGCAAAGTGAATATCTGCAAATTTTCAGGATTCTAGATACAAAATTTGTATCTGCATTTACAAAAATGAGTTGTGCATATCCATAGATGCAGATATCTGCGGATCTGCAGGGCTCTAAGCATGGACTTCTGCAAAACAGCTAAAAGCTTGTCTCCCTGTTTACCAGAAGAAGTTTTGTTTTCCTTTAGGATGTCCATTATTTCAAGTTGACTATTTTTATATGCCCTCCTCCCATTTGCTTATTCTACAGTCTATGATACTGAATTCTGAGGAGAATCTTAGTCTTCCTTGTGATGTATATTTTAAAATGTACAGTGTTTTAAAACCTACCTACTAACTGTGAGATGCTGGAGATGAGCCACATCCACTCTAAATTAATTAGCACTGGTATCGCACTCATCCCTTCCTTTTTTTTTCTTTTCTTTTTTAGCATCTTAGAGAATTGTAGCTCATGAAAGCTTAGGTCTTAATAAATTTGTTAGTCTTTAAAGTATGACTGGACTCCTTGTTGTTTTTCAACAAGGTTTATTGTTTTGGGAGATTTGCCTCCTTCCAGGAGAAACAGATTGGAATGTTATGAGGAGACTCATAGTTGGCAGGGGTGATGTTTAGTAACAGAAATTATGGGACTTCCAAAGACCTCAAAAAACATAAAAAAACAACTAATGGTCCTGCAGCACCTTAGAGGCTAACAAAACATGTAGATGGTATCATGAGCTTTCCTGGGCACACCGCATGTAGCCATTTGGGTAACAGATAAATATGAGCTTATCCGTTACCTGTTTAAATGGCTACACTCTTACATCCCTAATTAAAATATATCTCTTTTCAGAGTGTCTAAAGCATCGATATACAATCTACCTGATGAAGTCCTCAAAGGCCTATGTTATACAGGAGGACAGACTAGATTATTACGGAGTTCTTTACTAGCCTTAGTATCTGTTAACAATATAATAGGTTAATGTGTTCTTTCTGGCTCGCTAAAGTGCTTCAGTCTTGACAGGGTTGAATCTCTTCTTCTCTTGGATTGGCTGAGTTTACACAAACACAATACTGTAGTGGGGACATCTTAATATGAAAAGTCCATGACTTCGATATTTTAGAGCATGGGTTCCCAAACTGGGGGAGTGAAGAAATTCCGGGGGGGCATGAAGCGACCCAGCCGCATCCCCATCAATCCCACCCCAAGTTCTGCTGCTATTTTTTAGGGTGTGGGGGGGAAGGGCATGAGGGTTTCTCAAAAATCAAAGAGGGGGAGTGATGCCGAAAAGTTTGGGAACCACTGTTTTAGAGACTAAGGAAATCAACTATGTAGCTTTTTCAATGTCATCTTTGCCAACATTCAAGCATTCCAACCCAGGTCAACAGCTAATAATCTCAAATAGTTTTACTAATGACTTGGCATATTAGCTTTTCTGAGTAGTAGCACAGAACAACTTGGCTGTCACATCTAAAAACAGGTCTTTATATTTGCTTATTTGTTAGGATTGTACCTAAATTACATCCACTTACGTGCTAGTTTAGTCAATCTCGTAAACTTGAGTTTAGAACAATGTAACTTAACACAAATACATCTTTATTAACAGGGCTCGACAAATAATACAATCTACTCGCCCATGGCGAGTAGATTGTAACCCAGAAAAGCTGGGTTCGGGCGATCTGCACATGCGCAGATCGCTGGACAGCACAGCTGGTGAGCGGGGCTCACTGCAGTTCAGCGAGCCCTGTTTATTAACCACACACACACAAACATATACTTATTAATCCTATTTTTATTCTACATTTACTCTATAACTTGCATGTTTATTCTCTGTAGACTTCCTTTCCTCTGCTCTGTTAAGGTTCTTTTGCTCTATCCCAGCAACACTGCTACTGCTTCTGGTTTCTTTTTGTGTTGCTGCTTCTGGCAGCAACTAACCATCTGACTGATGACCACACATTTTTGCCTGCTCACTACTGTCTGCCTTACATTCATATTTTTGACTTGCTTTGAATGTTTATTCTTTAACTCCTCCTTCGTCCTCCAATCAAATGTAGAACCTTTCTGCTTCGTCTGGAGTTACAGTCCAATCGCAACTACTAAATCTGTGAATCAGAGTGATTACATAACAGGTCATAGTGTTATGGTCTGGGGATCTTCATCTGGTTTTGGGGAAAAATATGCCTGGCTCATCTTTCTCTGCAGTGTGGGAGTGGCCTTTACTTGGCCCAAGCCTCTTTTGTCTGCCTGCTAACATACTAGGGACAGGTTAACTCAAAAACTGTTATTTCACTCTTTTTGGCTGTGTGCCATCATTTTTGCCAGTTTAGCAAAACAAGTAAGCTCTAAACAGTTACCTCACCCCTTTTAATGTGTACTCAATTGTTACAGCCTCTAGCAAGTAGAATATAAAATTGAGTAGAATGATCACTGCTACAGGGATTGGGGCATTGTGGAACAGCTGCTGTTAAGGTTGACACGGGGGTCATTGCGGTGTATAGCTTGCACTGCGTCAGTTTCAGTTGTCTTTGCACCTTTCAGGGAAGTGATTATACTGTGTTGCTGCAAGGGCACATTGGTCAAAGACAAACTGGAAAAGAGACATGCACAAATAGGCTGATGCAAAGCAACTTAGACCAGGCCTAAGTCTTTAGGGAAGTTCTATGCCCTGTGTTGTTTAAGAAGTTTGGGTACATGATGACAATGGTCCCATCTGGCTTTGGAATCTATGAATTCACATAGAAGAAGAAGAAATGCCTCCAAAAAGTGTTGAGTACTACTCCGTGTAATCAAAACAGAAAGTACTGTGAATATTTGAAACACATTAAAAGAAACAAAAACTGCTCTCATCACTGATCTGTGTACCTTTGCGATTGAGGCGTAGGTTTCTTCAGATGGTCAGAGGTATGTCTGGTTTGGGATAACTTTTGTGCATGGAATTTGCTGGTCATCTGTTAATAAGCATTTTAATAGGAGCATCATGAAGTGCAAATGATCAGTCTCTAAGAAGGAAAATATTAAATATTTGAAAGCTTTCAGTAACACTAAACTTGTTTCAGAAGTTTTGTCAATATTAAGTCCAGATCTGTTGCAAAGGTGTGATAAGGTGTGACCTCTGACTGACCTAGCTGTGTTGGGAAAAGTACCTAATATAGATACAGTTAGACCAGCAAAAGTGCACTTCTTCAAATATAGCCTATTTTACTCACAGGCTGGAATAAGCCTTACAGTTTATCCAGGAAACTCTGTTTTTCACTGTATCCACACTAGGAAGTGTGTAACCTGGCCTGCGTGAAATACTTTGCACTTTCAGCTTCAGAGTTAAATTAATGTTTGATATGTCTTCTGTATTGGATTTACTTGTTTTAATCTGTTTCTTCTGTGCAGACCTTTCATTGCTGAGGTTTATAAGTACTGAATTAACAAGAGGTTACTTCCTTGAACATAATGAAGCAAAATACACAGAACGGCGAGAGAGAGTGTACACATGTATGCGAATACCAAGAGAATTGGAAAAGGTGAAGTATTCCTGAGATGTTTATTTTGGTTTACACATTCAGACCATGACTGTCATGTTAAGATATTTAAAATCACTTAATGTACAAATATTTTTTTAAGAATTATAAACACCAGTTGTGGTGTTTTTATTTCAGTTTTCCTTAATTTATTTTTTCAAGATCAAAGTACTCTTCCTATTTATGATTCCAGCTTTCAGTGTGATGGTGGTAACATGCTGCTATATGATTAGCAGAAGCTAGAACACAGTTGAACTAACCTAATTGCAAGTCCAGAGCATTAACAAAATTCTTTAGCTACTTCCAATTAAAAAATGAAAGCAGAGGCTGGGGAAAACTCATTTGATCCCAAAATTTACTTCTACCTTTACAATGATATAACAGTGCCTTTTTAAAAAACCCTTCCTAATCTAAAAACATACTGGGGTGAAAATAATACAAGTTCTTTAAAAATATGGCACCATGGTGCTACTCTGTTAATAAAGTGCAGTTGAATTTTCACGATCCTACCTTTCTCAGAACTTCAATAGTAAAGAATATGATCCTCACAGTTCATAGTCTGGGACTTAGATTAATATTTTTTGCCAAATGTAAAATAAATTAGGAAAAAGTATTCCTGATCTACACAATAATGATGTGTTCAGAAAATATTCACATAGGACAAAAAGTGTAAGATGAAAAAAATTGATTTCACTGAAGTTATTTTGTTACCATCTACTGCTGAGAAGACCCCAATTTAAAACAATAGTTTTTTTTATAGGACTGTGACAGTGTACACATTTAAGCAGTAAATCAGTGAGCCTGGGCTAGTCCGTTAACCTTCACAGTTACATGCAAGGGCCCCTCCCCTGCACTGCTGCCTCTGTATCAAGAGGCAACAGCATGGGGGGAGTAGGTGGGCGCTGGTGAAACCCAGTTCCCCACGCATACCAGTTCCCACGGAGCCACTTTTCCCCCTGCGCTGCTGCCTCTGGAGCACCAGCTCCTGCCTGCTCATCCACACTGCTGCCTCTGCCCCTTCCTCTTCATCTCTTCCCTCCCTTTCTCCCCCGGATGTAAACATAACTGCTGAAATTTTCAGTGGTTACCTGTTTACAAAAAAAATCCCATGCATTTTAATATACCTTGTTTTTAAATAGAAAGGTGAGAGAGAGTCAGCTGCTAAGGTTACTATGGCTTGCAGGCAGCTCTTGAGGAAGCTGATAGTAGCTACAGGAAGAGGTAGTTCATTCCTCAAATCTTTTGTCCATAATGTAGGAAAAAGGAGGGCATGTCTTCCTGGTTGGCTAGGTCCCTGCTTTCTCTACTTCCTTATGACCATTTGGTCCCGAGTACGTCTTACAGTTAGAGAGGAAAAGCAGAAGAAATTGAGGCCTATTCTTCTTGTGCATGTCTCAAGATCTGCTAGAATGAAATAATGACATCACAGGAATGGAAGTTGAGCAGTTGAAGGGAAATCTTTTTTGTCCAAGTGTTCAAAATTTCGTTTTCATACTTCTGTTGACTGCTGTTTACTACTGCTAACTGACAAATATTTAATAAGTGAACTTTTTTTAAAGGTTCAACACTCAAATCTCTTAATGTTTGCAGTAAATATTCCTGAAATTACTTGATGTCCTTTAGAAAACCCAGGACATACGAGATTTGACACATACATTTTTCTTTTGCCCATTATAAACCAAAAAAGTGCAGAATTCCAGATTTTTGGACATTCTTTGCAGATCACCTAGAAGATGAAACTAGGATTCAGATTGTCAGTAACTTAATGGTAAAAGTCCTTAAATATTGGTTAGCAAGTACCTTAAACCAAGAAATAGAGTGCTAAGGTTAAACTTAAGTGTGAACATGAAAAAAAAGTGAATACAAGTGTGTATAGTGCCTGTCTAACAATGCTAGTATCCCTTACTGTTTCCTTTTTTAGCTACTTGGTAAAATAATTTTTTGGACTAATGACTTCAGTGCCTTTTAAATACCGATCTCCCCACTACCCGCTATATTTCTGTGATTACTCACTTACCTTAAGCAATGCTGTATCATATAGGGAGAGGAAAGCTATTTATTGCTCTCCAACTCTTAAGTTAAACTGTGATGGGTCTTAGCAGCTGGGGTTTTTTTCTCTTGGGATTCGTGAGACGCTGGAACAGTGTGTAGTTCCATTTCGCTTCTGACTTAGCTCATACGCTTGAATTACACATGAGCATAAAACGTTTAAAGACATTGTCAGATATTATTCAAACTGTCGTGAGTGAACAGTGAAAACATAAATAATTAACAGCCGGAAATTGATTGGGAGAGAGAATGCTGTTGCTCCCTTCCAACAGCCTGAAAACTGAAAGTTGAGGAGGGATTAAAGTTTGACAGGGAAGAAAGAGAGCAGTGCCTGTGCTATACAGTCTGTGTTGACAGACCTGGTCTGTTAGGGTTTGTGTTAGCTCTCTAAAGATAGCTGTGTATGTGGTGCTTTGAAGTTGCGTTTGGGGCTCTGAAGGCTTGGGAGGGAGTTTGCTTCCAGTGGAACTCCCCATTCCTACAGATAATACAAACACTCAGTACTCAAAACTAGGCCTATACAGGCACTGTTACCTCTCTATTTGTTAGTAATAAGCCAAAGGAGGGCTTGGGGGATGTGCGGCAGGGTCTGGACAAGGGCCATAGAGGGAGTATCATCCAGCCCCACACTGTCCTCTGTTGTACCCTCAGCTGTGGCCCCATCCTAGGCCTCTTGTTTCCCAACCTGGGCACATACTCAGTACTCAAAACTAGGCCTATACAGGCACTGTTACCTCTCTATTTGTTAGTAATAAGCCAAAGGAGGGCTTGGGGGATGTGCGGCAGGGTCTGGACAAGGGCCATAGAGGGAGTATCATCCAGCCCCACACTGTCCTCTGTTGTACCCTCAGCTGTGGCCCCATCCTAGGCCTCTTGTTTCCCAACCTGGGCACATTACCAGACCTGGCCCATGCCTCATCTTCGGCCCACCTGCGAGTCCAT